CAAAACACCAAAAATAACCTTGTCGTGACAGTATCCTAAAACCTTAGGATACATTGTTTGGAAACCAGAGAATATGTAAGAAAACTGTAGGGAACCTTTAAAAGTCAATGGTGTAGATTTCGAGATATTTAACTCGATAAGTAAAGGAGATAAAATGCCTCTAAAAAGTTTGATAAATGAATAAATAAATTGATCTTATATTCACTGACTCAGTAAGAGTCATTCTCTGAGAATCTTTTAATATTGTTCAGACATTTCATATCCATTTATTTTACAGTTGTCAAGAAATATCTTTTGAACAAAAATTTCAAACTCATAGAAGAGGTAGAGTTAAGGGATGATTTAAAAAATAGAGATTCTTCCCTCTGGTTACGAAGTCATTGACAGACCCATTTACCATCCAAAGATCTGTACCGCAATGTGGCTACAATCCTTATAATAGCAGTTTGTTGCTAGAGCCATCCTGCATCCTCTAAAAAATATGATTGTGTATGTTATATATATATATATATATATATATATATATATATATATAGATAGATAGATAGAGAGAGAGAGAGAGAGAGAGACAGACAGGCAGACAACATTCCCTTTGTAGTACATGTGTCTTTGTATCGTTGGAGGAAACTCTTGATATAAAATATTTACAGAAAATATTCAGTTTTCCTACGATTTCCCTTAAAATTTGCTGAAGGTTGACAAAGATTATCAACATGATCACCAACACTTCTGTAGCGGCCCTGCAGGATTTAACCTCTATTATATGAGATGGTTTCTTTTTATGAAAAAACTATCATAAAAATGCTTTTAAAGTTTGACGAGAAAATGTTGTTCTTTGTGGTCGAAGTGTCTCGTCTGTTTTATTGTCGTTAATACTGCAAAGGTTAAATCTTTTTTAACAAGTGTGTGTTTAAATTTGTCTCTTTTTGTTCCTGTGCACATGTACAGCACGTGCGTATTATGTACAAAGTGTGACCAAATGACAACATGCGTTTTTTTCTGTTCCATTTTCACACCATTCCACACGGCGCCATTAGCTGGTTGACTGAACCACAGATGAGCTATGCTTTACAGAATCCAAATTACACCAGAGCCATTTTTCATCCTGCGCAGCTCTTCACAGGCAAAGAGTCATAGATGGGCTTTTTCACTTTCCTTATTTGTCCTTGTCTGCTGGAGGCCTGCCGCTGGCTGACATAGCCTGAATTTAAGTGGACATCAATCTCGATAAAGAGGCAGAGCCCAGAGTAATATTACCTCTGCAGATTTCTTTTTCTTTTTTTTTGTCCACCGTTTAACAAGACAGCACAAATAAGCATGTTTCACATCACAAACTGAAACATTGACCTCCAGTTTGAGACACGATATGTGGATAACACACATAGCATATGGTGGGTTAAGCTTTTACATATCTGTATCCACTGAGGCGTCATCTCAGATGTGTTTCTTCTTTTTAAACCTTGGCTTAGAATGGGATGAGATGCGTCCATTTGCATGGCTGTAACATGGTGATAACAAGATTTCCTCTGGCACCGCTGCAAAAGTGAGAGGGGAAACGTTTGGCTCAGAGTAGCAGCGTGGCCACTGTGGACTGGACTTCATGCACTCTTCATAAATGAGAGTCATTAATTCTGCATGTAGGTAGAATTTCTTCGCATGTGGTGCAGGAGCTCCTCTTCCTCTGGGGGCGAAGCCGTACCCTGACCCTACTCAACCCAGTCAGGGCCACCTCTCATTCCCCTCTCTCTCTTCTGTCTTCATTCTCTCTCCTCCCATCTCTCCTTTGTCTGTCTCTGTTAGGTATAAAGCTCCCTCTGTTTGTTGAGCCCATCTGATAAGTTGTAGATAAGTCACCATTGTTGGGGAAAGATTTTCATCGCCTCTGATGCTGCAGGCGCTCTTTTTTTCTCTTATTATGAAATATGAGTTGTTCCCACTTGGCTCCCTTGACCTAAATTTTCAGTATTTGCACTTGACAGTTTTTGAGCTTTCTTTTTTTTTTATGTGTTTGTGTTTGTTATAAAGTAAGCAGACGTACCTGAGGCAGCTGAATGAATTTACATCATAATCAGATTGAAAAGCAGGCTGCATGGCAATACCACATTCAAATGTATTTTTTAAGACGCTACAAGACAAAAAGAAAAGGTTCAGCCTTAATTGCAGTTCAGTGTCAAGAGGAACATTATGACAACTAATATGCATCAATGATAATAGACAAGAAGCATCTGTTTCCTCTGCTGGATCACCTTCACCTCAGTGCACGGTTGCACAGTGCTGCGATGGAACAGCGACAGTAGAAAACCATTTGGCACTGACATATGTAGTCTGTCGCCTATATTAAAATCTAAGTGAGCATCACAGACTATTTGCAATCCACAGTGTAAACAAACAGAAGAGCTCTTCAAAGGCTCAGACTTCAACATAATTGGAAAGGAAATGGATCCAGAGCTGAGCTAATGTTTCTCGGCTCTTTTCCTCTGCAATTAGTGATCGCAGATCCCAGAAGAATAAAAATCCGGACAGGTCTGCTATCAAAGAAAAGCAGCGTAATTAGGATTTTTTTTTCTTGTAAAGTATTTATCTCCCATTTCTTCTTTAACTCTTTGGCTGCCTTTCACACCCAAGTATGTTTTAGATTCAGGTCCCTTGTCTTTTTAAATAGTTTTTGTTTTTCTGTTCCCTGAAATATCATCATGTGTCATTCTCTCGTGATCAAAGCAGCAAGCAACATTGTACAAACTAGAGCAGTGCCCGTTTTAACCTGCCTGTGTGGAATGGGCTGTTTGCTTGTTCTGTGGTGATGCTGGTTGCTTCTTTTTTTTATGAAACTGTGAAAGTGACCTGCAGTAATTGAGCTGCAGCGAGTAAAGACTGAGTCCACAGAACCTTGGAGCTGCACCACCGCTGCTGCACAAAGAGCTGTTCTCCTGTTTTTTCAAAAGTTCAGTGAAGCTCAACTCAGTACATAGAACCCTGTACTTGAGAATCATTTGTCACCGCTGTCGTGAACTCGTCCATTGATGAGTTCCAATCTGAGCGTGTTTTGAACATATTGTGTGGAACACTTGAACACATAACAATACACATTGCCAGTTTAAGGACAATATGATTAAAGGTTCCTGAGATTTGCGAGCCACAGACGGACAGATACTGGAATTAGAAGATATTAGATATTGCTCAAAAAAACAACAAGCTGTGTTTTAGTGCCAATCAAATAAGCAGTTAAGGCACTCGCGGCCATGCCATTGTTTCTGCGTAGCCTCCAAATGATGGGATGACCTAATTTACTGAGGAGGCAATTGTAGAGTCATTATGACAGCCTGCTGGTGAGGTCTGATCCTGGGAGGTCTGTGGATCGAGAAACCTCTACTGACAGACTGTCTCAGGGCTGTCTCCAGGTCTGCAACTCACATAGTTATGAGCTAGTGGTTTGGTGATGTCCAACTCCCTGTGGCGACCCCATTAAAATACAGAATGATCAATTAACACACACGGCCCATGAATGTTTGCCTATAGCAGTTTTAGCTCCTGTGCAAGTCCATCACAGTTATAAATATTAGATATTTAGAAGATTTTTGAAGCGATCACAGGTGTTAATTGGGAGTGTTCAAAACAAACTGACTCAGTGGAGATGATAATAGAATGTGTTTTATGTTCAACAAGGCCTTCTGGCTTGTGTCCATACACAGGGATAATAATGAGCCGGTGACCTTTTACTTTCCGTCGCCCACAGCAGATTTAAGTAAGCGCTCGTCTTTCAGAAGTTCTATTAAATCTATGACTCATCAGCACCACTCGCTACATGCAGCCTCACAACATTCTGTTGACTTTGTTAAATTGATCTCCATAAAAATTGAATTTGCCCCAAGAAGGACTCGAGTGTGTGTTGGTGATGTGACAGTGATGTGAAGGCAGAGGTAATTGAATATACTGTGTAGTCATCAGAAGACACAACAGTCGAGTGTTATAAAACGTGACGTCCAGTGAAAGGTTGCATTAAATTATTGTAACTGTTTACATTGTTGTTTGCCAACTGATCAATTGTTTGTCAGGAGGATAATGAGAAAACCCCTGAACGGACTTTCTTGAAACTTGAGGGATGCGACATGAAAGAACAGCTTACATTTTTGCTGGAATCTGAACAAAGCAGCAGATTATTTTACATTTTCATTAACTTCAAAATTTTCACTGATTTCTCAGGGAATTGTCAATGGATCTTGATGAAAAAAAAATGCTTTTTAGGGGGCTGATATCAATGAGTTTGTATAATTTAGTGTAGTGGCTTGATTGAATTTAAGGGGATTGTTGGTGCTTGCTAGTGGTAGGTGCTTCAGCTGACTCTTAAATTTCAGAAAATTGTAAAAAAAAGAAGGCCTTTCATCATCTCTCACAGCCTAAAATTATGTGTCCAGGTTTTTTTTTAATGCAGAACACATACATATGTAATTGCAATTATGTAAAACAGATAAAACTGTTTAGAAACTAGAAACTAACTTTTATAGCATTGTAGTTACTGGATATTGTATTTTCTATCAACAAATTGTTGTAGATAAAGCATTTTAATATTAAACCAAATTCAGATAGATGGAGGGCTAGGGTATCATTGAGGTTAGGGTTATGTCAATCCGGTGCAGAAATCAACACACTTCAAACTTCAAATACAGAAAAAAATGAATAGCATCAAAGGATCACAATATAAAAGAAGTATCTGTGGGCATGAGTGGAATTATTTTAGTTTTTCTCATTTTATTATTATTTAATCATTTTCAGTTGATTTGTAAAGGTAAAATCATAAATGAGTGAATGTGGTTTTACCTTTTAATTTAATGTTTTATATTTCGCAGTCATTTCGCAAGTAGATTAAAATCAATGCACTGGCAACAAAAAAAAAGAAGTGACATATTGCAGGTTATTTTGTATGTAAGTGCCTGTTTCCTAACTGAATGAATGTCTTCCTCCACTTTTCAACACCCTCCTCTTTTGTACCACTGTTATGACAGATGCCATGCTGCTGGTGGCGCAGAGGCTGGAGGGACCTTTCAACATTGAATCTGTCATGGAGCCTATTGATGTCAAGATTTCCGAGGCCATCATGAATATGCAAGATAACAGTGCCCAGGTCTCCTACAGGGTATGTCACTTAGGTTTATTCCCCGGAGAACAAAAGTAACACCTCCGACAGATTTTTGAAGTCCAACTTCCCACACGCTGAAGAGTGAGGAAGTGAGGAACTTTGCTGTAAGCCACGCTGGGCTGGGTCTAAGGTGTGCAGTACAACACGTTCTAATTATGTCCAAGTTTAGGTCTTGTATTTGAATTATATGTTTCAGTTTGGTCAGAAAATCTGAGTTCAACTAACAGTACTTAATGTGTTTCCTGTGTTTTACTGCATTTTTCTTTGCCCACAAAATGGGAGTCAGGAAGAAAAAAAAATGTAGGTGGTCGTGAAGATTTTTTTTTTTTGCCCACACAGTTTTGGATGCCAGTTTTCATTCAAAGTTAAATGCTCTGTTGGCTTTCCCATGCAACAGATGCAGTTTTGTTTATGGTTTAAGTATATGTGGTGTTTTCCCAAAGGCCTGTAAAAACTAAACTCTCTCATCTTAAATAGCACTGGTCACAGCTCCTAGTCGAGTCACCTATCAACGTGGTTACCTCAACTTGATGTAGAGCACCGTCACGCTGGTAACGCGGGGCGAGTGCTTCACAGGACCTTAACAAAACAGCATGTTCCCCCTATTTTCCGCATCCAAAGCAATTTAAGCCTCTGACAATTGGGTGCCCGTGTTTTTGTAATTGCAGGTTTTTCAAGGTTGTGGCCAGCCAAAGCCCGCAGGAATGACTAGGTCTACCCGTGGTGTTTCGGATGTGTTCAACGCCCGCTTCAGGCCGTACAGCCCAGAGGAGCGGCCTACCACTGCAGCTGGCACAAGCCTAGACAGACTGGTAAGGAGACAGAGCCAATGCTGCTATTTTCAGGCAAGACACCGCTTCAGTGTAAACATCATTTGTCTTTCTGACATGACACTGTTGATTAAAGCTGGTGATTTTCCATCGTAAGACCCTGGAGCCGGAAATTAATTCTTTGTACCTGTCCTCCATTCAGGCCCCTCTATTGATTTGTGTTTGTTAACGAATCAACAGCTTTACCCCAAGAGGGCAGGGGAAAGGTGCGGTGCACTGCATTCGGTGCCCGTCTCATCTCTGTGTACTCGGACAACAGAAGAGAAGGGGATGAAAGAGGATAGATGGATAGATTTTGCGTGGCTGAACATATCAATTGTTTGCTGTAAAGCACGCCTTTATTTCCTATCAGATTAGTTGTATGTTTGCTGGATTGGATCCTGATACATGGATTTTCATCTCAAACAACCTTGAAGCCTGAAATGCTGCATCAGGGGTAAAGGTTAACGTGGAGCTGACAGCCCAATTCAGGTGAGAGACAGTTCTCATCATGGATTACCTTTGCAGCCACGGTGCCCTTCCTTTCTCCCCTATAGCCCCTTTCAAAATGAATCTTTTCAAGCTCAGTTATGTTGGTATTTACAGCTTCTTTTATCAGAAAGCCTCCTAAAATATTTCCATTATTGACCCTTGAAAGTACCAGATGTATTAAATCACTGTAGCGGAATACCCGTCTCTCCCGCAGTGCTTGAAACATGCTTAATCAAATTTCGCAGCACCATCTTGCAGGTTAATAATATGTTATGTCGTTAATAAATACATAATTAGCAAAGCAGCAGCATTGTTTCCATCTGGCTCTTGGAATCCCACAACACTAAAGGAGTTATTTGTGTTTTTTCAAAACTAATTATGTTTTCACACAATCTAATTCATTCTCCACATATTCTTGATGTTTTATATAGAGCGCTTGCCTTTGTAGCTTTGTATGTCCATCAACGATTTCTTCCACCTACGCTGAATTAATTAAGGCTTTCTGTTTCCCTGCCTCTATGCTGCAACCAGAGGATTGTTTGGAATGCGATGCAACACAGTGTAAGGTTCATAATTTTATACTAATTTCAGTTGTTTTTTTGTCTTATGTTGTTTTATGTGTTATGACTGGAAGCCTAAAATTTAAAAAACAAGCCTCATGACCTGTTAATCCCAGCGGTAAGTGTCAGTTACGGTCAAATTTCCATTTCTCCTGAGATTCAGTGTCACACACTGTCTTTGAATTTGCCATGAAGGAGCATTTTCCATAAATTTATCTGGGGCTCTCTAGCGGGAACTGTCAAGAGGTTGATAACGGCCACTGTGGTGTATTATGGCATCATAGTATCTGCTGTTAAACACCGTCGAGTCAAGCTGCTAACTCTGAAGGGATAATTGAACACGTGCCATGGTGTCCTTGGCTAGTAAGAATTTCTCTCCGGAGATCGAGCGTGAACCTTGGTCGACCACTATATCTATTCCAGTCGCATTCCAGTCTCAGACCCTCATTGCCATATAGCTAATAGAGTCAGCTCCTCGAGGAAGCCAGCCAATCGACATGTGACCTGCGCCGTCAGAGCTGGCAGAGGGGAGAGCTGTGAAGAGCTGGTGTGGGAGTGATGCAGCCAGCATCTGCTCTAATACAGCGATGTGGGGGCTCCAGACTACTTAGGAATGACTGGGCAATTAGCCTGCTTGGAGAGCCCCGCAAAATGGAGCTCGGTGACAGGGGCTTATTTTCGACTTTCCATAACTGCACTACTCAGTGTACCTGAGTAAAAAATGCCATTAAAAACATGTGTCCCTGAGGAATCCATGCTGGTGTTGCCACAGGAAGCTGCAAATTGTGACATGTCTGTAAAATGAAAAAACAAATCTACTTTACATTGATAGAGGAATAACAGTTTTCAGAGTTTAAATGTTTCAAGAGAATAGCAACAAAATGCAAATTAAGCTGCTCTAACATTAAAGCATCAAAAACAATTGTTGGTCACTTAAAACCATCCGTAAACCTTCACTGACATTTTAAGTAGTATAACCTTGATCTGTGGATATTTATCTCTTTTAAGCTCTGTTTTTGGTCCCCACTATCTCAATCACTGCTTTCACAGAGAAATCTTTTTTTGAGCAGCTAAATGCTTCACAATGTCCACCAGCTTTGTCTGTCACATCAGGAAGTGTTCGTTGGCTCTAGCAGAGCTTTTAACTGAGAAGAGCTGTCTTCTGCAGCCAAAAAACAACACTATGAAGTTGGTGAGAGTGAACAGAAAAAAGTTGTATTGTGTGAGATGAAAGATGCTCTGTGGAGCTGAGGGAAACTGCAGAGTCAGGTGATTAATCCCTTGTGGTTCATCACTTTGAGGACACCTTTCACGTAGCTGTATTGTTCTGTTGTTTATATGAAAGTGTTGATTACAGTAGTAATATATGTACTGATTTGATGTGTATATATAACCAACAACCACGTTTTCCTAGTTAGCTATACCTCTGGATGATATTTCTGATAATCATGTGTTGAAAACTGAAAATATTGCCACTAAAGCAGCACAACATCTGTAAATCTGAGACGGTTAACGTTACTGAGTTCGGACTTGAGTAGCACAGTAGTGTACTGGTGGTTGTGCAGTTAACTGCGTTATTAATGACAATGTAAGTTCGATTTCAGCTGTGACCTTTTTGACAATATCATCTCCTCTTCTTATGTCTCTGTTACAACCAAAGAAGGTAATAATTCAGTAATGTAATTTTTGTATCAATTCATGTAAAGACTTGCTGAGAGGTCATAATTGGAGAAGCTTATCATACACAGTATAAAGATAAAGTGTGGAGCAATATATTGCTTTTCCAAGATCACATGAGAAAACAGGCTTTCTCCCGTTTTCACTATCTCTCAGTTTTATTTTTACAATTATCCCCCATTGTTCACTTTTACTTGTACCTTGGCTCAGATACCGGTGAGTGTCAGTAAAGTAAGGAGGGGAAAGCAGGGCTTGGTGCAGACTGTGTCCAGGTAGGAGAAGAGCTGCTGACCAGCACTGTAGGTCTTCTCAGTTGTCAGGCTTATTGAAGGGCCCTTTGAGGAGCTCCGCAACATGTCTGTTGTTCGATGAGTCTTAGGACTTGAGGGAAGCATCACCCACATCCCTGGCAGAGGTCACATGCCAAGTCATGAAGCTCTTTTGTGGCACGGTGCCTAGTGTGTATGAGCTTCCCCCTGAGATGCTGAACGTTCTGGACATTGTTGGGCATTAATTGCTGATATGACTCTTCGTTGTTGTGTTGAGGTTGGGGACAGTAGCTGAGGAATAACAGACCCAAAGGGTTTTTAAAGACACAAACAAAGGGTGTGTACTAATCATTGTGGACTCACACAACCCATCCCTTTGGGAAAGTCTATTCTAGGGTCCTGGAAAGGATCAATTGTTGAACCCCAGATTCACAGGGAGCAATAAGGATTCTGTCCTGACTGTATAACAGGTCTTTATCCTCAATGGAGTGTTAAAGGATCATGGGAGTCTCCTGTGGTAGGAGTACAGGGTACCAGTGGAGAGGGAACAAGGCACTGCAGCCAGAAGGGAAGTTTACCAGTCAATCCACATTCAGACCCTCGACTTTGGTCATGAGCTTTGGGTGACCAAGAGAATGAGATCACTGATACAAGCTCCCAAAGTGAACCTTCTCTGCAGGCTGGATAGGGTGAGGAGTTCAAACATCCTTTCCATCAAACGTTGATGTGGTTGGTCTATCTGATAAGAATGTGCCCTGGGCTCCTTTCATTGGAGATTTTCCAGGCACTGGAGTAGACCCAGGATTCACAGGAGGGACCTGGTCTGGCCTGTGAATTCTTCATGATTCTCCAGAAGGAGCTACAAAGTGTAGCTGGGGAGAGGGATATCTGGAACACCTCACTTAACCTGCTGTTACCATGACACAACTTTGGACAAGTGGAAGAAATGGATGGTGTGATGTGATAATGTGTTTCATATGTGTTTCCTCTCACAATTGAAAACTGATTGAGTGCTTATACAGGAAAATAAACAGTGGCACAGTTACTAGTCAGCATGTATCATTCTCTATTAAAAGGTTATTCAGCACTGAACTATATGATGTCATACATGTTTGCTTTTTTCCTGCTGCAGCCTACCTCAAGCTGTCAAACATCTAGCAGTATAATGTTGGCAGTTAACACACATAAACATGCAAAGGCATGGTAAGGACATACATCAAACCCTAGTTATAACCTTAAATTTAAAACAAATTTCTATTGAGGTGCTGCAGCAGCTGACACCACCACACTGGCAGAATATAGATGTGTCAGTACTCAAGCTGAAAGATCACATGAGAAAAACGAATCAAAAGGGAATTTCCAGTATGACAGTGACTATACAGTTATCATCTCAAGAATGATCATTTGTTTTAGGTCTTTACTTTTGTAAGTTATGTAGAACTCAGAGGTCATTTAGACTGCAGACCCACCACTTGTGTTTCTGTTGCAGTTTTAGTTATCGGGCACTTCAGATATTTAATCAATAAGAGCAAATTAAAGTGTTTCAGCAAATGCACTTAAATAGCCTAAGGTAATAATGCATAAAATATAAGCATATTTGATCTAACACTCCAGATGCATTTAAATTGGCAAAAAATACATGAAGTTTAATGTGATTCTAATGTGGCTCTGACAAAATCTGTCCATAATTTAATGTCTAGTAATAATGTTATTGTAAAAGATGTGAAAAATACTGAGCACTGGTCTTGGTGCAGCTCTGTGGTGTTAGCACGGTTCTTCCTGTGCCAATGTGGGTTTTCTCTGGGTACTCCAGCTTCCTCCCACAGTCCAAAGACATGCAGTTTATATTAATTCCAGTCTCTAAATTGCTCGAGGTGTGAATATGAGTGCGAATGGTTATTTGTCAGCCCTGTGATGGACTGCAGACCTGCCCAGGATGCACCCCGCCTCTCGCCCAATGTCACCTAGGATTGGCTCCAGCCTCCCCATGACCCCTACAGTATAAGCAGTATAGATAATGGATGGATGGATGGATGCTTGTCCTGTCTTCTTCTAGCCATAACTGATGTGTGGAGGTATTCAAGTATATTCAACAAGAAAAAACATAGAATAATGTCACAGTTAATACAAATGACAGGAACATGGTTATCTTATGTTCCAATATGTTTGAGTATATAGTATATATACTGATTTGATAGCTTTTTCACCACTCCAAATTATATTACATATCTTAGCATAAAAGAAATCAGGAGATCAAGATGATGGAGGCCTCTGAGAGGAAGATGTCCAAAAATGAGGGGCTGGCAAGCGAATGTCGAAGCAGGGGGTGGAGGACCAAATGCAACCCCTCCGAGGTCGGATGCAGAGGCTTTGCATGCCAGTTGCTCCGCAGGGCACACAGGACCGTGGCAATCAAGGGACTGCACAACAGGAAGGCCTTCAAGAAAATCACTGATGTTGCAGAGAAGGCATCAAGATGGATGTGCATCAAGTGAGGGCGATCCATGAGCTACATGAGAGACACAAGCTGCAGGCTGATCACCATGCACCAGCTGGGTCGCCAGGGCGAGGACGTCTCGCCCAAAACACCCTATGACCCCAGGTCACATCATCCATATTTCGCCAGGCCCTTTCAAGTTCAGGCTCCACCATTGGGCTGAGGTTAGATAAGCATACATGCTATTATGTGTTTGACATATGAACAGCTGAGTCGTGGCAGTAGCCATTACATATATTTCAGCAAATTTCCCCTTGCATCTTCGTGCTTCTTCAGAGCGGAGATGAGACAGGTGTTCTGGGGGAGGAAACCACTCGATTGTGGTAACTAATTTATGAAAAGCAATTAATTAGCCAGTGTTATTCATGAATCTGGTTCTTGCCTCTCCCCTTCATTATGGCAACGATGCAGTGCCTCAATAGTTTGCTGGTAAACTTTTCCGAAAAGGTTCTTGGATGTCGAACTAATATTTTGTTCAATATTTTGCAGATAGAGATGTGTGTCTGCAACTGTTGTGACTAGAAAGTTTAATCAGAGGTTTTCAATTTTCTTTTCTTA